GGAACGGGGAGCTATAGGCACTGGTATAGGGCTCCGGGGCAGGGCTCGGCTAGGGCCGGGACCGCAGCATAGCACCGGGATTACTTAGCACCATTGTCACCTGGGCGCTGAGAGGCTGGCGAGGCTACTCCCCACCCCCCTCCCAGCACGTTCGCACCTAGCGGTGAGAGAGCGGGGCTCTTCCTCAACACTAGTTTCATTCCCACCTGGCCTCACGCCGCCGGGCGCGAGTGCGCAGTGCTGCCTGCGCTCTACCGCCGGCCGTTACCAACGTGCGCACAACGCACAGCCGCAGTCAAAATAGTCGCGTTGGAAAAAAGAGCCTTCCGCAGAGACCCCATCCCAGATAGATGACCCCCTCCCCCTCCCCCCGCAGTAGTAGTGGGACTGCTTCCTGCGCGTCCTCGGCCCGCAGCCCGCGCCTGCGAATTACAGTTAAGCTGAAAGGTTTTGAGTGGGCAGCGGCATGGCCCTGCTGTAGGAAGGGAAAGGGGGGTTGGGGGTGAGAAGTTTGAGTTCCTAGGGAAATATCCCCACGGGCAAGTTTTCGAAACTCCGCGCGCCTCTGCTCTGTGTGCAGCGGGCCGCGGTGGCCGGGCTGGCGACGGAGGGGTAGCTCTCTGTAGCCCGCTCCAGCTCCCGTCTCCGGGGCAGGGGGTGAGTGGGGGGCGCGCGCGGGGCTCTTCACGTTGCGCGGCATGGCCTGCACGGCCTGCAGAGAGAAGGACTGTTGTGACAGGCCGGGCTCGGGGTGCGGGTGCGGATGCGGCCGAACAGAGTTTTCGTTGCTGTGAGCCCCACCCAGAGTGGGGGGTAGAGTCCGGTTAGGGCGCGGCCTGCGCGGCCACGAGGCCCCAGAGCTCACAGCACCCCCCCTCCCCTCCACCGCCTTTTTTCCCCTCTATACCCCTCCCCCTTGTGGCCATACCTGGCAAAAGCGCCATATTTCACTCTCTCCCACCTCCGACTGACATTTACCCGCTGTCCTCCACTCTCGTCAAACTCCCGGCGCGTTACTCCGTTATGTCCCCATTTCGTCGCCATGTTCTGTTCCGTTCTGTTTCCCGCCTCTGGCGGAGGGAGGACAGGTGGAGGGGGAAGGGCGAGAGGGAGGTGCCCGTCAGCGTTCTGTTTAACATGTAACGTGGATTCAATGACAGTGATAACACAAAAAGGCGCAAAAAGGGAACGTTGTTGTGTCCCTTTATTCCGGATGAAGACAGGTGGTGGGCGAGCGCACGGGCGAGGAAGTAATTCAGCGGGCAGGAAATAAAACGTGGCCGTGTTCATTGAGACGAGGAATTAAAACGAGAGAAGTAATAATCTCCACAAAGGGTTGCTGCCTCATTCGGACGGGAGGACGCAGTAAGCGCTGCAATCCCCTCGGGAACCACCCTGCTGGGTCCGTCGACGGGCACACATGCAAGTGAGAGGTGTGGGTGTGGGGGGCGCCGGGGAGCTGGGATAAGTGGTGGGGGGGGGGGAGAAACGACAGCGGCATCTCGAGGGCTAAGAGGAGCAGGAGAAGAGCGTGGGGGCTTGGCAAATATTGAAAGAGGTCCCGTGGAGGGACAGGCGGGCGCTAGGCACGAGCGAGGGCGCGAGCACCCCCTCGACGCGGCGGGCTTGGGCTGGGCCGGGGAGGGCCGCCGCGGCCCCGGGGAGAGGCCGCCAGGCGTCGCTTCCGACCAGCGGACGTGGTTCCATTGCCGCCGTGAGGCACTTACAGTGGCTCATTTTCCTCGGAGATGAGATGGGGCCGTGCCTCGGGCTGGGAGGCTGCTGGGAGGCGGGCCTGCCTTCACAAGAGGACGGACGTGGGCCGACGAACAGCGCCGGCGACGTAGAGGCAGCCCTGCTAGAGCCACAAAACACCACTAAAGGCGGAAAAACGCCATGGCCTTGACGACACACATCGCGTCCGAAATTGTCATGGCGTTTTGGTTGGACACTGCCATGGAGAAAGCGAAACAATGAAAGAAGAAGAACGTAGCGCTTATTTGCTGTGGCCAGCGATACTCCCAAGTGTTGCCATCCTTTGAAACTTCTTCTGACCCAAACTCTGGCACCTTGCGGGTTTCGAATCCGCCACCTAACGCTTCGCAGCCAGGCACACTGACCACTCGACTAACGGAGAGCCAGTGGGAAGGACAGAGCATCAGCGCTGTCTAAAGCAATCTCGTCACGAAAAACAAAAATGGGTTGGCGACACTATGAAAAACAAAAAAACATACGATTTCCGAGGTTGGCAGTTTCAGAGGCCGCACCGGCTTAGTGACTTCCGGTGCCTCATGCTGTGTTTTGCCGCGAGCGGATATGTGATCTTAAATCAAGTTTTGAGTTTTGTACGATTTGTAAAAACAAATTGAGTCCAGATTATATCGCAGTTGCATTCGTGTGTCAGTTAGTGCTTCTGTAAAGTTTGGCTTCGTTAAAGGAAGCTTACACAATCTTCTACACCGCCCCGGTGTCGAGGTGCAGGTTAGTGCACGGACATATTGCATTGGTACAATTTAGAGTCAACGATAATGACTCAACTGTCTTAAAAGAACCTTGGTAAAAGTTGTACCAAGGTGCTAGACGCATAGGCCCGTTCTAAACAGTTAAAAATCTAGCGACATGCAACATAACCTCTGTTAGGCCGTCGCTCATCTTCTGCTTTGTGCAAGGACGGAGCTACTGCACGCCACTTCCTCAGAGCTACCTTCTTCTTGTTCGTCGTATCGAGCAGCTTTCTCATAGTATCTGATTTTGAAATGATCTGTCACCGCCCCCCACTGTGCTCCTCCCCATCCCACCGTTACCAA